GCAGCTGTCTTCGCCTGCCCCTCTCCCATCCCAGCTCTCCATATGTGCCCCTCCATGTCTCCCGGGCTCCGCTTGCCCCCCACCCCACCCCCACCCCCTCAAGGCTCTCCAGGGCAAGCCAATCGAGGTACAGCTGTAAAGCATTTGTGCTGGCCGCCAGGCTGGCGGGGAAGCCATCTGTAGCCGGGCAGCTGCCAGGCCTAAAATGACAGGAGCCCTGGGCCCTCGCCCAGCCCCAGCCCTCCCATCCCAGCCCCCAGTGCAGGAAACTCTCTGTGTGCCAAGGCCAAGGAGACCAGGGATGAGGGGAACGACCTTGAGGACATTCCAGGAAACCAGGGGACAGGTGTGGTCAGCCCCCTCCCGGCAACCTGCTACTGAGCTGAACTTGAGGGATGGAGGTGGGATAGGGAGGTGGGGGCAGAGGGGTATTGTTCCCAAAGGATGTCATCCTAAGGTAGAGGACTGCCCACCCAAGCCTCAGTGAAAGACAACTCCCCATTGTCACCCTCCAGGAGCTAATAGAAAAGTTTCCAGGCCACAAGCCTGGAGAGTAGGGAGCAAGGAAGGGCTCTCCCTCCCAGCTCCAGCGAAGAGGGACCCCTCATACCTCCACTTCCCCTTAGTCTATCTTCCTTCCCCTCCTGGGAGAGGATACCAAGCGAGTGGACCCTCAGGCTTCCAGCCACAGTGGACCCATCTGGTTCCAATCAGCAGAACAGGTTCCCAGATCACAGAGGACTCGTGGTGGAGAGGCCACAGACAACAAGCAGCCCCCCTCACCGCAGCACGTCCCGTCCCCTCCCCCAGAGTGCAGCCCCTGCCCCAGTTGGTCTCCTTTCACTTCCCAGATGGGCCTCACACTGGAAGACCCAGTGGTACAGGGAGGCCTTAGGGGGCATAGGCCTCCCTTTTCTTACCCAATTTTCTGACCACAGACCCCAGACCTCTGTCCATAGTTAGCCATTCAAACCACAGAGGAAAGAAGAAAAGGGAAACTAAAGGAAAGGAGGGGCTGGAGGGAGGAGGAAGGGCTGGAAACAGAGAGCAAGCGAAGGTCTAGAAACCATCAGGCCCCAGCTGGCTCTTGCTACAAATGGGGAAACTAAAGTCCGGAGAAGGAAGTCTACTACAACTTACTGAACTCAGCCCCAAGCCTGGTTCTCGCATTATGCCCTCTGGTCTGCACAACAGTTCTATAGATAGGAATTACCATGCCCATCTGACAGATGGGAAAGATGAGACTCGCAGGAATGAAAGGTCTTACCTTCCCAACCCCACCCTGGTGGTGAGCAACCAGGTGTGTCTGATTCCAGAGTCTGGGCACCAGGCTGCCCTCCAGGAAGTGAAGGCTGCCTCAGCAGCCCAAGCCCCAGAGCCCCCTGGTCTTCTCTGCTGTCTCTAGACTTTGACCAGGTGGGAAGCGAGGTCTGGAGAAGTCTGCCCTCTCCATCCAGGTCTGCTCTGGTTCCCAACCCTCACCCACCCAGCCCTAACCTGGTCTCCAGGCCCAGGGTCAAGAATACAAGCCTGAAAAAGCAACCCCTCTGGTCACGGCTTGGTGCCAGCATTCTAATCCTGGCTCTGGGTGGCCTTGGCATCTGGGCCTCGACTTCCCCATCAATGAAATGGACTGGGTTGTCTAAAATTGGGTTGGGTGGTGATTCTGTGATTCCCCAACTCTCCATTCCTATATCGTGAACAAACCTAGAGGCTTCCCCCTTGGCTTGGGTGGTCTTTAGAAAGAGGGTTCTGACCCCAGTTTCAGAACTTAGAGCTGGCAAGAGAGCCAGGGGACACAGCCAGCCAAGGAAGCCGCTAATCTCCATGTCTCCTCCCCAGGGGGACTGCACTGCCGCCTCCACTGAAAGCAATTTGTCATGCCCTGAATTAAGTGATTCCAACAAGGGTTTAATTTCAGTTTAATGATTCTGTTTTTATGTGTAATTAAATACCATTGCACGGCAAAAATATGTTGTTTGCACTTTAGAGAATGTGTAAGGGCCTGGGAAGCCAATCCCATTGGGTTTCAACTCCCAGGCCCCACCACCCCCTCCCCCAGTCTGGCTGGAATTGTCCAGGTTGAGGGGAAGGGGGTTGGGGACCTGATGAAAAGAAGGGATAGGCGAGGGGAGAGGTGGTCCTGGTGGCGCCTGCTCACTCAGCAGAGCATGTTTCTAATTATCTGCAGCCCAATCCCCCCCTGCTTCTATTCCCCAACCCCAATTCTCCACAACCCCTGGGGCCTCAGACATGGAGGGGACAGGTCACTGACAGCAAGGATCTAATTAGACCCTTGGTTGGCTGGAGTGGTGTCTGCTCCTCCATGTGTGTTCCCAAAGGGCCACTCCATTGTCTCTCCCGCACTTATCACCCCCCTTGAATATGTTCCCTTCCTATCATCTTTCTCTGCCCCTTCCTCCCCTCTTTCCTAGACCACCCAACATCCCAGAGGCCAGCCTGCCTGCCTCCCAGCTCCATCCAACCACTTCATCTTGATTTTCTCTTTCCAGGTCAGAGGTGACATTGCCATAGGGGCCTGGAATGCAGGGGGAAGTTTCTCTGGCTGGGAATGTTTCAGGGTCATTTACCACAGAGCTATATACCCCCCAGGAAGGGAGACTAAACAGGCGTCCCAGGTCCTGCATGCCTCATAACATTCCTGGAGCAGCTCGGTGGCAGAATCTGGTCCAGAGGGCAGAGGGGTTGGGACAACCAGCCTTTTCTGGAAGGAGCTGAAGGGATGGCAGTGGTTGGAACCTCAGGGCCTTCTTAGGGGAGAGGCCCAAGTGTTGGCTCACTCTCTGGAGATTTTCCTACCTAAATCCAATGCTGGAGTCAGCCCAAGTCCCCGTTTTTCTCCCTACCCCCACACTGCCTTCTGGCCAGTGGAAAACCCAGCCCCCAACCCTCAGCAACATCAGGGCTTGATCTGCACTAATGATCTAGGAAATGGAAACCAAATGCTTGACGTAGACCAGCACCAGAGGACTGGGGGAGCCTGGCTGGCAGTGCTCCCAACCCCCTGCTCTAAGCCAGTGGAAGGGAGGCAGGGCAGAGCACTCAAGGACTTCAGTCCTCCAGTTCATCCAGGTTGGCAGTCCCACCAGGACATAGGAGTTTGATCCTTGCCACCTCCCTCCTACCCTGCCAGAGGCCCTGACACCTCTGTGGGTACTAGGGGAACCATTCAAGGGAATTTGGAGGCCAGAGCGAGAGGGCCTAGATGCAAACACAAAGCTGCTTTTATTTTCTTCTTTTTGACACCAAGGACCTGGCTCCAGGATTGTGGGGGAAAGTGGCCCAGGTGGGGGGGGGGGGGGACATTTCTGTGGAATGTGGAATTCCCCCTTCCAAAAGTGCATATCCTGTATTCTCTGGTGCTAGTCGGCTTCCCATACCCTGTGGTGGGGACACCTAGTGAGCAAGGTCCACTCATTCACAGCCAGAAGGGAAACACATCCTCTGTGCTTGTCTCTCTTCTCTCCTCACATCACACATATGCACACTCAGATTCATACGGTCCACATACACACACCATACAAGTGTGTGTCTTGTCTGCACACACCCAGACTCACACATCATACGGGTATTCATACACACCATGTAAAGGCCCATACTTTCACTCACCTTCCAGGTACTATATTCATACCCATGTGCTATATTCACACCCATGCAAACACACACACACACACACACACACACGCCCCACAAACACACGGATATCACAAAAGCACACCACAGGCCATCCACGCAGCTACTTCCAAGCAGATCCTGCTGTTTTGGAGGCCTGTGAAAGAAAAAGGACCTCATACCACCCACGGCCAAGGGTGCAAGGCTGGAGCGTAAGGAAGGGGGCTGGAGACAAGGGAGATGCTTTAGGAAGAGACTTTCCCTGAACTTGGCTTAGGGACCTAAAATTTGATCTTCAGCCTGCACCACCTCCCATCCCATCAGTCCTTGGCCTGGGCACCAGGAGGCCAAGGGAGCAGCCTGCACACCAATTTGTTCTTTATCTCCTGCTGCTGGCAGTGGCCATGGTGCCTCAGGGAGACCAGGAGACTGCAGGATGCTGCCGCTGAGGCAGAGAGAGAGGATGGGATTGTCGCCCCAGACTCAAGATGCAGACAGCACAAGTGCCAATGAAACCAGAGATGCAGACAGCACAGGTGCCAATGAAGCCTGGGAGCACCTCTGGAACTGGAGAGGGGGCTGAGAATCCAGGACACAGCCAGACAGGATGGAACTCCCCCAGAAAGCAGCGGACTTGGTGCCCAGGGTCTCCAAGCTGCCTGTGATGTCCCAGGAAGGGGCCCCCATTCAAAAGATCAGCACACACACCCCTGCACGCGCACACACACACACACACAGAGCACACATGCACGTACACACACACACACATCCCACATGGGGGGTAGGGCGGGGGACACTGGGGCATGGCCAAGAATCCAGTCATACCATGTGGGCACAAATTCTGAAGCCGAGGCTGGCACTGAGAGTCTACAGCAAAGTCGAGTACCTCCACTCCCAATGCCTCAGCATCAAATCTCAGCACAAACCCCCAGTCAGGAAACTAGGCAGTCAGAGCTGTGGAATGTAGAAGTTTACCCCTTTTCCCCAAGTGCAGGGCACTGCCTCACCCCCAACTGAATTAAATAAAATCTAGATGCAAACCCAATCTGACTGATGCCCTAGGAAATGCCCCAGCTCCACATACCTGCTGACTCCAGAAACAACTCTGGCCCAACAGGGCTGTCCTTGGCCACTCCCTCCCTTTAGAAGCCATTGTCTGCCCACCAGGAGTCTGAGCACAGACAGCCCAGACTTTGGAGACACGGAGCCCCCCAGGAAGAGGCTTCAGGGAAGAGGAGGACGGGCTGGCTGCCCTTTGCAGTCCTTTACATATAGACAGGTGCCTCACATACACACGGCGCCCACCTCCCAAAATCTTCCCCCCCTCTACCCCCGTTTCCAACTGTAAATAAATCAACCAAACACAGTTATCTGGACATTTTTTGGTTTTGTACTGTTTTGTTAAAAAAAAAGAAAAGAAAAAGAAAAGACATCATGGCCAACTGGTAGGTCCCTAAGTCTCTTTCCATCCAGTCAAGCCAGAAAATGCCCATGGGAGCAAGGAGGTGTTGGGTGGGAGGTGTAGGGGAAGGAGATATGGGAAGGAGGCAGAGCCACAGGCACTGAGCCACTGGAAGGATGGGGTCATCCTGGTGACTTCATGGCTATGACCACAAATGGGGTAGGGAATAGGACCCAGGCAAGCCCCCTCATTCCCCAGCACATGGGTCCTCTTCTCCATGAGGCACATACAGTCCAATCCTGCATTCTTTCTTCCCACCCTGACTGCTCAGAGAGATGGGCCCCATCCCTCCCCCACAGCAGGGTCTCGGCTGCCAGGCAACCAGCAGATTCCACAGCACCCAGACCCAAAGGTGGGCTTGTCTCTGCAGGCCCTTCCCTCCTGGAGGAGAAGAGAGGGGACCCTGGCAAGCCTTAGATTTGGGAGTGGGCCTGGGTCTCCTGACCATTGAGCCATTTGCTACCCCTCACCTTCTCTATGGCTCCCATCCTCTGTCTACATTGAGGGGAGGGATGATGGTCAAGGTACACATCTCTCTTCTCTGACTCTGGGAATGAGATTTTGCTTCTCCCACAGGATTGTGTTCACCTTACAGGAGTGGCCCCACATGCCAAAATCAGAGGAAGTCGGAGTAACAGCTCCCAAGGCTGAAAACTAGAGCTGACATATAGTATGTGGTCAATAAGTGTTTTTAGATGGCTGGATGAATGAATGAATGGGTGAATGGAGGAACGAGTGAAGGGATCCAAGACCAATTTGGAAACACACTAGGGCTCCCCGTTGCCATTCTGACCTCTTGGACTATCTAAGCCCAAAGGACACTCCAGGCTCTGGCTCACCCCAAGGGCACACCCATGCCCATAAACACACTCACACACACACGCATACACACCCCAAGGGAAACTTCTGGGCCAGTGGCAGAGCCAGGACTCAGACCCAGACTCCACTCCAGGTCAGCTCAGCAGCCTCCAGAACATGGGGGTAGCAGGGGACCCTGAGCCCCCTGCCTGCTGGTAGAGCTCACTCTCGGAAGCTGTCAGCCAACTGGTGGCAGTCCAGCTCCCCCTTTGGCTCCAGGCCGCCTGGAAGCTTCACCCCGGTCTTCCGGTCCACGCACCAGCACTTGCCACGCTGCCCATCCAGGGCCGGGTGACACTGCCAAGACAAGGGCACAAGGGGTCAGTTCCCAGGCAGGAAAAGAGAAATCCCAGGCAGCCCACCCTAATCCCAGCTGAGCCCCCAAGTCAGACAGTGGCTGCTCCAAGATGGCCTCTGAGGGCAGAGGATCTCTTGTGAGCATAGCTCCTCTGAGCTCACTGGAGCAGGGAGAAATCTGTCCGAGAGGGAAAGGTCCAGAGAGTTTCAGAAGCAAGACCCTGAGGAGGCCCTGGAGTTTAAAGGCACAGCTGGATTTGAAAGGCTGGGTTAGAGAGGTTTCAGGTATGTGTTCTGATTGGGTTGAGACTTTAAGAACGGGACACGAGTTAAGAGCAGGATCCAAATTGGGGCTAAGGTAGAATCAAGATAACAGTTGTAGTTGAATTAGGAATTATGACTACAATGGGCCGGCCCGGTGGCGCAGTGCTACAGTGCACCACTTGGGAGCACGGCGGCGCTCCCACTGCTACAGTGCACCACTTGGGAAGCGTGGCGGCACTCCCACCGAGGGTTCGGATCCCACATACAGACCAGCCGCTCACTGGCTGAGCGAGGGGCGGGAGCAACACCGAGGGTTGCGATCCCGTGGCCGGTCACGAAAAAGACAAAAAGGAAAAAAAAAAAAAAAAGGAATTATGACTACAACTTGAGTTGGGTGATGGTTAGAGCCCAGGTCAGAAACAGAATTGGGATAAAGACAGAGGTCAAAGTCAGGCTTCCTGAGATTGGGTCAGAATCAGACAGTGGGGTGAGGAGTGGGGAGACAAATATTTTGGAGTCAGAATTAGAGTTGGAGTGAAGGTGGCTCAAGGGTCAGCACTGGTCTGGGGATAAAGGGTCAAGTTTCAGAACTTTCACTGGGATAAAAATTGGGGAAGAAAACACAGAAATCTACAATACACAGTGAATCCTATGTAAACTATGTACTTTAGTTTTTAATAATGTATCAATATCGGTTCACCAATTGCAACAAATATACCACACTAATAATGTAAGATGTTAATGATAAGGGGAAATAAGGGGGCAGTACGGGAACTCTACTTTCAGCTCAATTTTTCTGTAAATCTAAAACTGCTCTGAAAAATAAAATCTATTTTTTTTTAATTACGGGAAAATGTTTTAAAAAATTGGGACAAGGATAAAACCAGTGTTGGGATACAGGTTGGAGATAGGCTGAGCATTGGTTTCGGGGAGCCCTCTCTGGTCCTCCACTTATCACACATCTCCACCCTCCTCATGCCATCCTGGGATGTGCAGACCCAGGGGCAGCCTAGCTAGGCTTCTGCTGGCAGAGTGGCAGCCCATGTTGTGGATTTGTTTATAGTGCATGGAGTGGGGGATTTGTGTGTCTATACCCCCAAAGAGCCGCAGAAGGGGATCCCGGCCAGGGCTCCCCATGCCACACCCAGCACAAGGCAATCCAGCACCCTGGCCACACACACCAGAAATAGGCTGGTGCAGGCCAACCCTGCGGAACATCCCAGCCTCCGGGGAGATTGTCAGGGGACCTCATCCAAGAGCATGAGGGAATATGGAAGTTACTGCCTTTATGTCTTCCCCCTCGTTCCTCTGCTTCCACTCAAAGTGCCTGTCTCCAGCCCTGAGATCTGGCTTCACCAGGCTGGTGCAGGCCAACCCTGCGGAACATCCCAGCCTCCGGGGAGATTGTCAGGGGACCTCGTCCAAGAGCATGAGGGAATATGGAAGTTACTGCCTTTATGTCTTCTCCCTACCCCCTCGTTCCTCTGCTTCCACTCAAAGTGCCTGTCTCCAGCCCTGAGATCTGGCTTCACCTCCATCCTTGCTGTAGTCCAGGTGGTTCCACTGCTCAGTCTGGGGGAAGGGGCAGGGTGAGTTTCCTCCTGGACTCCTCATGACTTAAAGCCCTGCATTCCCAGATAAAACCTCAGACATCCAGTGATGGGGAAACTAGTCGCAGGAATGGAGTAGGGTGAGTGAGAGAGTGTTGAGAGCCAGAGGTTGGCAGGGGGGCTAGGTCTACACTACAGCTGGTGAACCCAGAGGTGATGGAAATCACCCTGGATGGAGAGGCAGGGTCTGCCATTAACTGGCTCCGTGACTGTAGGCCAGGCTGGGCCCTTTACTCCTCTCTGGGCCTTGGTCTCCTCAACTCCAAAATGAGTGAGGTTCTGAGGCTTTTAGAGTTTAGGGAGGTTCCCAGGGGCTAGGTTTGGATTGGGGAGTTTCATCCTTCCTGAGATCTCCATCCTAAACCATCAGGTGGAGAACCAGGAATGCCCCCAGAGCTAAGGCCAGGGCCGAGTGTGCAGAAGATGGAGACCCACCTGCTTGGGGTGGAAGTTGCCGTTGCGATCACAGTTGGGGATGGGGATGACGTAGAGGTCCTCATGGGTGCGGCTCTGCGAGGCGGCCAGCCGCTCCAGCGCCCGGTGCAGCTCACTCTGGCAAGAGCCCTGGGGCTGGAGGAGGGAGAATGAAACTGCTTGGCGGAAGGGACAGAGGCAGGAGGACCAGGCCTGGAGTCGGAGCTAATGGAGATGAGGGCCCCGAAGGTCAAGGCCTGGAGGCTGGGCAGGGCCCAGTGAGGTGAAAGGAGGGGCAGGGTTCAGGGAACACTGGCAGGGAGAGCAGAAGGACACTGAGAAGGTCTCATGCCAAAGAGCTTCTAAAAAGGAAGGCATGAAATGAGGGGATCTCGTGGGGGACAGGGGCTGTGGAAACCTACGGAGACGGCCAGGAAGGGGGATGATTTCTAAGCAGGAGAGATAGACAGTTGTACAATTAACAACTTGTAAGACCCAGGCAGGATTCCTCAGAACCACCCATCAGAAAGGACATTAGCCAGACCCTGGAGCAGGCTCCCAAGGCCCCATGCTCTGGCCAGCATTAACCCTTTAGTTACTGAGAAGGTTTGGGGTGGGGAATCCAAGAGATGGGCCAAGAACCCACGGGGCTTGGGGAAACTGCTTTTTACAAACCAGTACAGAAGAATTTCAGTATTTAACAATCACTTCCGCCGTACCAACGTATATACCAACGTATATACCAACGTATATAACGGATGAGGAAAAAGAAATTCCAAGGAAAGGAATAAGGACTCTCTCTGGGCCTGATAACACATACTAGGTCCATCTTGCACACAGTAAGTGTCCAAAGAATGTTTGCTGAATGAACATGGTTCAGATCTGATGGTGGTGTGTGTGTGCACATGCACATTTGTGGGTCAGAGGTCCTCACCATAGGCCGAGTGTCCTCCCGCGGCACCCCAATGACCTTCATCTTGCCCCCGCTGGTGCTCCGGTCTCGCATTTTGGCAAAGTGCTTCTGCAGGCACCTGCGGTCGTGGGCGCTGCAGGGGCTGAGGCTGTTGTTGGGGTGGTCACCCTCATCCTTGTCTACAGTCAGGCCAAGAGAGAAGAGGTCAGCACCAGAAAAGACAGGTCATCACACCACTCCAGCTTCCCACATGCTCCCTCCTTCTTGAGGATTCTCCAGCCTGGCACTGGAGAAGAGTAAGGGCCCTGAGGGGGCAGGAAGAAACGACAGCAGACCCCATCTCCTCTCCACTCCCCTGGACCTACTCAAGAGAACATTCCTCCTGAAGTCCTTGACTTGTCCCTCACCCCAACCAAGCCCCAGATGAGTCACCAGCTGCAGCTGCCCAGGTGGCAGGAGGCTACCCTGGGCCCTGCAGGGAGGTCTGAGGCAGGCAGAGGGGCTCCCTGTCAGAATTGCCCCCTCCACTCAGCTCCTCCCACCACCCCCCTCTCCATCTGCTCACTCTTCCTGTCTCCTTTCCTTCTCTTTGTAGCGTCTGGCAGAGCCAGCCAGGGGATCCCCAGGGCTGTCAACTCTGCTGACCTTCTTCCAAATGGCCAGAATCAGAGTTTCCATGAGTGATGAGAAATCTGGCCCAAAAGGCTCTCCTCACTGGCTGGCTGGGAGAGAAGAAGTGGGAGTTGGTGTGTGTGCCTGCATGTGAGAAAGCGTGTGTGTGTGTGTGTGTGTGTGTGTGTGTGTGTGTGTGTGTGTGTGTGTGTGTGTAAAACACCCTGTGTGGCCCCAGGACCCTTCAGTCCCCCACCTGGAAGTCTCCAATCCTTAGACTTCAGACCCCAGCCAAAGCTCCTGTCTGTTGCCCAGAGCCCGGGCACCGGGGATCTGGAGATGGAAGTGGTGAGGCTGGACCCTCACCCTCTCTGTGGGATCTCCTGAAACCTCTATCTGAGCACAAGAAAACCCCATCCAGAAGTCCCAGAATTGTAACCACTACTCCTCCTTCCAGGCAGCCAAAACAGGGCTGAACTGGAGAAAGAGACTGGAAGACCTCTCCACCAATCAGAGGCACCTCTGAAATGCTCAGGTTTGGAGCTTGCTCCCGGCCCAAGTGCAAAGCCCCTGCCAGCATTCCAGATGTTGGCAGCCAGACAGGAGGTTACATCTGGTTTGCGTCAGGATTTTTTTTTCCTGAGGAGTTAGCAGGTTCCTCTATGCATGGCAGCAGTCCCAGAACTGCCTCTGGGTCAAATGGTATTTTTCCGCCTAGCCAAAGCTGGGGGGTTGGTTCTCTTTTTATTCTCCTAGCTTTGGGGGTACAGGGGAAAGCATGTGGATAAAGGGAAACCAGGCAAGGAGGAATCTAGATCCTCAGAAAGTCTTTGTTAAGATTCCACACCAAAGGTTATTTAAAAAATTGAGTCAACTAGATTCTGTCACAGGTGGAAGGCTGGCTTCTAAGCAGAATCAAAGGGAAGGAATAAATGAAGCAGACAGATATAATGCATCCTTCTGCACATTTAACAGCCCAAGAAGGACAGACCAGAGGGGACTCCAGTCCCACAACAAGTTCCTGAGAGTCAACCTAAGAGAAGACACTATAGCAAGACTTCCCAGCCAGTGTAGGCAGCAAAAGAAGAGGTAGATAAACTTCAGGAAACCAGGATTGTGCCAAGGGAACCACAGAAAGATGGACCTTGAGCTCTCAGTTAGGAACCAGAGAAAGATCTGGGCTCCAGACCCTTCCTTGGAGACCCTCCCACAAGGAACCTCTCTGGCTAAAAAGACCCAGACTGGCCAGTGACCCCCTCTCCCTCCCCCCACCTTGCACAAAGCCACAAGGCTGTGGATGGGGTCACAGTGTTTCAGGGTGTAGGCTGGAGCTGGGGGATGGAGAGAAAGAGGAAATGGAAATCCTAAAAGAATTAGAACCAAATCTTGGAAGGACAGAGGCTGAGCTGAGATGTGAACAAAGTCCCCACCATCTTACCTGGGTAAGGCTATAGGGGATCACCAAGACTTGTTTACCACAGCCCAGGACACCACCTCTGGGGGGCAACCTCCCAACCTGGAAAGGCTTTATGTTCCTGAGTTTGCTTTCTTTTAATGACCATAAGAGAAAACAGTACTTTGCACAGCGACTCTTGTTTATCTTGGTAAACAGGCAGAATGTTCTCAGGTTCAAGAAATTCAAGGAGTAAAGAAGAGTTTTCTAAAGAAAAGGGCCACTGTGGGAGGTACAGAGCACCCCCACACCCCACCCCCGGAGCTGGGGGGCGTGACAGTGGCAGAGGCCTCAAGAATCTAGAAGGACATGGAGTAGAAGCTTGACTACAACTATGCTTTCCAGGCTTGAGTTTCTGAGTCGAAGTTCCCAAATGCCTAACCCTCAGGGGATGACTAACGGACATTAGGGATGTTTACCATTAAAGACAACTGGATACACTCACAGAAAGTGAGGCTACATGGGGCATAGGGTGAGCCCAGAAGCATAGCTAATGTTCTTGCATTGGTACACCCCATGTCACACAGAAAGGGTTATCCAGAAAAAACCGAGCCAGCAGCCTGCCTGGCCTCCCCCTGGTTGGTTTCCCTCTGCCCAGATCACTTATCCCTACCTAGGTCATGTGTAAGCTTGGAGTAGAACCCACCAGACAGGGAGAGTAGCTCCTCACTCATTCTCATTGAGACATGGGTACACAGAGTAAACCCACATCTGCCCACTCACACGCAGAGAGGCTGGGACCCAAGAATCACAAACGTATACAGTCACGTGTGCAGACACACACTGGTCCATGCACGCACATCCACATGCTCTCAGGAACTCTGACCCTGCCCTGGTCAGAAATATAGGCCCAGTCTCCCTGCACCATGTTTTGTTGACTTTCCATTTAATCTCTAACTTTTCCTTGGCCAGCCTTGCTTGGATGGCAGACTGAGGACTCACCCCAGGATCCACTGCTGGACACTGGGTTTGGGGGGTTGTAGCATTGAGTATCTTGAAAACATTAACCTTCCTATCTCTAAAATTGGCTGAATACTTGCTACCTCCCTGGTTGCCCAGGAGTTCCAGCCACCTGGTGCTGCTCATCCTGGGAGTGCCCTCTGGAAAAATCCCAATGTCCGTGGGTTCCCCTCTGAGCAGGAGCTGGAGTCAGACCTAGCCCCTCAAAAGGTCTGACCACTGAAAACCTGGTTTGGGAGATGGGGTTTCCAAGGTAGGCTAGATCTTCTCGTCCAGCACCCTGCTTGGAGCTAGGCCAACTGATATCCAGCCACAGGGGAATCCTTGGTCTTTGCCTCAATAGCAGAGGAAGGGAAGGAGCCCAGAGAGAGCAGAGGCTGCACAGCTTTGGCACCACAAAGTTCACGGTGAAATTTTGGCTTCAAAGTTCATGGTGAAAGTTGGAGGATTTCCTCTTTCCTGCTGCCTGATTTCACCCCCATAATTTCTCCTCAACTCCAGCCCCTGCCTCCTGAGAGACCCCAGGTTGTGAGCTGAGTGGGCCCAGACACAGAAGTTTCAGCCATGATCCGGAGGGTCACCCTCCTGCCCTTCCAGAAAGGTCTTTTCCTTCTTCCTCTGGACCCTGGCTGGAGAAGTCAAGACCACCCACGTTGGGTACCAGGCTTTCTTTGAGGTCTGGGTCAAGGGTGTCTCCCTCACTGTTGTGCCATGCTGCCAGCCTCAACTATAGAGTCAGATAATCCAAGTTCAGCTGCCCTTCCCACGTTGACAGCAGCAAAAGTCACCAAAGTCCATCCCACCTCCCTCGACTCCTCTGAATGTCCCCCAACTTTGCTCCCTTGCCCTATTGTCCCCCAAAGTCCCAGCATCAGCTTCTTTATCACCATCCCCATCATCCCTCCTATGTACTGAGCTCTTACTCCATGTCAGGCACCCCGACGCTGTGAGGCAGGCCCTATTGTCATCCCCATTCTACAGATGAGGAAACTGAAGTAGACTGGGTGGAGGGGAAGGAGGAGACACTTATCTCTGCAGCTCCTGCAAGTACGTCTTTAAGTGGGAAGACCCCTGATACCCGAGGCACCAGTAATTCCGGCTTTGCCAATATGAAAGAAAAACTGGTAAGTAGCAGGGTCCTCCCTCTTCCCTCCCACAAGGCTCAGAATTTCTGGGAAGAGGGCTGGCCGGTTAGCTCAGTTGGTTAGAGTGCAGACTTATAACATCAAGGTCAAGGGTTCGGATCCCTTACCGGCCAGCCACCCAAAAAAAAAAGAAGCAAGTACGTCTTTAAGTGGGAAGACCCCTGATACCCGAGGCACCAGTAATTCCGGCTTTGCCAATATGAAAGAAAAACTGGTAAGTAGCAGGTCCTCCCTCTTCCCTCCCACAAGGCTCAGAATTTCTGGGAAGAGGGCTGGCCGGTTAGCTCAGTTGGTTAGAGTGCAGCCTTATAACATCAAGGTCAAGGGTTCGGATCCCTTACCGGCCAGCCACCCAAAAAAAAAAGAATTTCTGGGAAGGCCCTGTTCCCATGACATGACTGGATTCCCAGTATTGAAGAAAGGGGGACGATATTTACTGCGCTGACTAAAAATTAACCCAGGCTCCCTGTTCCCTAACCCTGTCCCAGAGGGACCCAGAGCCCAGTTCAGGAACTCCCTGTCCACATGCTGATCTTCCCACTGTCCACTCCCCCAGATTCCGTGAGTCGAGGGTCAGTATCACATGACTAATTGTGGACGTCTGATACACATGCCCCACCCCCACCTCTGGTGGCCTCAGCGCTGTTAATCCACAACCTGGCTGTCTGTGGAAAGCTGAGATGGCGGAGGGGGCGTTGGCTGGAGAAGGAAGAGGGAGACCTGCCCCACGGACAAATGGAAGGCAGCTGGACCAAGGCAGGCCAAGGGAGGGGCCGTGCCAAGTAGCCACTTGCCGAAGCTCAGCCCCAAGAGGAAAAGGTAGAAAGAATAGCCTGATACCCTCTACCAAACTATTCCCAGGCCAGAGGGCCCAAGCCTTGGAACCTAGAAAGAGACAGTGTAACGCTAAAGAGGACAGTGGGGAAAGGGGCTGAGCCTTGTTCATCTTAGCTCACTGGAGACCCTGCAGGGCTGCCGCACAACTCTAGGGTGTGCTTTTCACGTGTGCCATGTGCTATAGACTGTGACAGTGGAGTGCTTCCGTGGTGGCTAGGATGTGAGAGGGCACGAGCACAACTTGCCGAGCAGGTGCCTGGCTTCCCCAGGATTCCTGGGCTTCCCCTCCTCCCTGTCCAGATTTCCACACCCACTACATGGGTGGAGTGCAAGGCAGGGAGGGAAGGGGAAGGGCACTAGAGACCCTGGCTCTATAATCCAGAGGGAATGTAGACACCTCTTAAAGCCAGTTTGTATTATGTACACAGGACAATCACAAACCATTCATGCCATGCCCCCCCCGAAGTCCTAGGGAATCCAATTTTCTCCCACTGCAGGATGGGGTGTTCCTCCTCAACCAGTGGAAAAGACCCTCTGAGGCTCTTGCCTTGTGTTCAAGATGGTGCGAGGAGGAGGCTGCCAGCCATCCTTATCTGGTGTCAAATACCAGCTGGCAAGTGGAGGATGGAGATTCAAAAGGAAAGTGGCCCCGTTGTACTCAGGGAGCTCAAGGGCTCAGCTCTCACTCCCAGTCTCAGTACCCTCCTCTCCCAATGGCACTGGCATATGTGCCCCAAGATCAGTGACTTACTGACTTACTCCCCCAGGACCCCCCCTTCCCAGATATGTGCTGGGTGCCAGGCTGGCATTTCTCCTAGAATGTTTTCTGCTGACCCATCTCTCCCTGCCCAAGGGCAGGAAGAGCAGAGAGGCCCGAGGCCCAGACCCCTGGGGTCCACCTCCTTCCTGTTTTCCCTGCATCCTGCTCTCCTCAGGCTAACAAGCTGCAGAGGTTTGAGGAAGTGGATCGGTCTGGGACCCAGGGCAGGAAGCTTGGGGCCGGAATCCCAGCATCCGGACTGCAACAATGGAAGCTTCATGTACCAGGAAAAGAGACAGACATAGACAGAGGCACAGGGAGAGCAAAACAGAGGCAGAGATACAGAAAGAAGACAGAGAGATAGATCCTAAAAGTAACAAAAAAAAAGAAAAGAAACAGAAACAGTGACAGAGACACACAGAGAAAGAGACCCAGAGGAAAGTGAGAGAAGCAGGACAACAGAAACAGACAACAGAATAAGGTAGAGAAAGAAACAAATTGATCATGGCAGAAGACACTGGGGAAAAGAGAACTCAAGAACGTTATTAGTGAAACTAGAGCTTGAGAGACAAAGACAAAGAACAAAAGAACAAGAGAGACTGAGAAAGACTAAGGAGAAACTGAGAAAGGCTCACTGAGAAATGGAAGAAGAGAAAGTGTAAGAATGAGGTTAAGGCAAAGAGCCTCCTAAGAGTCCCCCCCACACACACCGCCACCCCTACCTCCCTCTCCTCCCCCCGCCCCCGTCTCTATTCCCTATCCCACACCCACGAGGTTTCTGCAGCTCTGGGCTAGGAGCCAAGACTTCTCTTCTGCCACCTCAAATGGCACCTGCCAGGAGGAAGGAGCAGGATGCCTGTATACCAGAGCAGGCAGAGGCGTCCAGGCCTGCCAAAGAGACCTCAAGGTGAGTGGGCTCAGGACTTTGAGGAAAGGCAAGCCTGACGCCCCTCAACCCCAAAGACCCTCTAATTTGTATGTCCCACTCCACCATGAGACAATGTGGAAAGTCCAGGACCTTGCTCCTCAGACCCCTAGGGTTTCTCCTGTGGCCAGAGTAAGGGCGGACCCTGGATCAGTAACAGAAAGTGGCTCACCACACACCCCACCCCCACCCCCATCCTCCGCTTTCTGGCCCTAGACGGCTGATTGACTGCAGCGGGTCACTTCATTTGTCGCTCTTGCACCCAGCAGCCAGGCCTACCATTGAGACCCCTCTTCCCAAACAGGCACCCCTGAGAGGTTTGAGATGGAGGGATGGGACAGAGTCCCGCTTGACGGTGGCAACAGGCTGCTAGGGACTGGCTACCAGTTTCCTTGGCTGAGACTGTCCTGTGCCAGTCGGGCCCTGCCACGTACCTGCCTTGTTGGAGTGGGGAAGAAGCTGCTGGGAGGGGGGCGCGCTAAAGAGCGCTGGGAGGACAGGGGTACCTTACCAGAGGGCTGCAGGCTTTCCTGGATGGCCTCGATCTCCGCCAGCTCCATGCACACGCCTTGCCCGTGCATCAGTGTGTGCAGGGGCTTCTCCACACCTCGGGGCGGGTAGCAGCGCAGGCCCGAGCCGCAGCGGGGAGTGTACACCCCGCAGGGCATCCCCAAACCCAGGGCGCAAGTGGCGCAACAGCCACAGCCGGGCTCCCGCACCAGCTCCTCGCAGCCCACGGGGGGACGGCAGCGCGCCAGCTTCTCCTCGGAGCAGGGCGGGCAGTGGATGGCTTCGTCGCCCAGGCTCGGCCCAGGCCCGGCGGCCAGCAGCAGGGCGGCCACGAGGAAGAGGGGCGGCATGACCGGGCGAGGACGGCGCGCGGGCACGGTGCGCGGGCGGG